ACTTTCTGTCACCCTAAGATTGCGCTAATCGTTCTGATTTACGGTGTAATTTTTAATGATTTAGCGTAAAAGGCTTGCAAGAACAGCCTGAACATATTCAATGGATAGATGTATGTCCATATTACGGATGAATTGGCGACCGATGGGTTTGAGATCGGAGGAGGTGTGTTGAATAAAACAGATATGAGTGTTCAACCATCCAATTAATAGTTGTTGAACACAGTTCTGCATGGAGAAGGAAAAATAGTCCAAGTCGTGGACGTTGACCGTTGCACTGCCAGCAGGGAGGGGCTTAAGGATTCGGTGTTGCCACGTCGTTGTCTTAGTGACCTTACTATCAAGTAAACGACAAGTGGTGTGAACCTTCACGTCGCCATTGCAGACAAATATGGTTGTAAAAAGGGTAGGACTGACTATGTCTGTTCAAAACTAATCAAGACGCAGCCTGGGCAATTCTCATTCTGCCATACAAGCAATTACTATCACTGCTTCCAACACTGTCTTATGTGAAACATTTTACTCCACAGTGAAACGAGAAAGACTACCTTTGTGCTTGCGTTTGGCATAACATCAATCATGTGGAATGAGAAAAAATTTCCAAAGAAATATGCAGCTTTAACTCTTCCTCCTCCTCCACCTCCTTCTCCTGCTCCTCCTCCTTCTCCTGCTACCTTTCACCTTCTACTTAAAGCGAATCGTATCATGTCTCATTTTTAGCCACAACAATGTGTTTAATATTTGCAAATATGCTTCTTAAAAGAACATCTCTAATCCCATTCACCGTTTCGCAAATCCCTAAAACAGATCCTTTGAAATGAGAAGTTTTGATTATGAGAAGAACCTCGATGAAGGTCACAAAAAACTCTAAACCACTAAGCCCGCTACAATGTTAAGTCCAGGCTTCGGTTTCGTTGCATCATGATGGATATTGCAATGGTGCCCAGTACGTACGGCAACGGAAGCAAATGTTAAAGATAATCATCCTAAGTTCTGTATCTTTTCGAGGCTGCCCAAGCTTTCAATTCAGCCATTTCCATTTCATTCAAAGTTGCACTGTCCAATAGGTAACTGCTTCCTACAACTAGGAAAATGTCCTTACTTTTCAACCACAACTTCTGGGCTGCATTGGCTTGTTAGTGTGCCCTGCCTGTAAGCACATAAATTCCCCTATCTAAAACGGTTTTTCAGTACACTTGGATAAATTATTGAACTCACAAATCACTTTCGCCCCTTTTTCCCCTCGTCCTACCTATGACACGTTCCAGTGTGACTGGGCTTCCCTCCACTGGATAAACGAACGCAATCAATTGATTCTAGTTTTAATCCTAGGGCTAAAAAATGCATCGGAGGTCTCATTGATTTCTCTTCTCATTGATTAAATAAGCCAGTTGAGTGTGATCAACATTGGCCCACTTCTTACATCCAATCAAAACTGAGTTCTGACCTTTTGGTAGCAGTTCATTGGTGTAGTCTGAATTGTCTCAATCAATAAATTTCCTGTTCAATCATGGTTTATTAAGGGAAGCGAATGTGGTCCTACTACGCTGTGGCTGTAATGGTAAGGCAACACTGTTTTTATCAGGTTATTTGCATATTAAAAATCCATGTCCTCACTTCGTTTTTCGCCTTTTAGACATGCAGCGATTTGGCTATTTTATGAGTAAAGGATTTTACAACCGGCATCTCGAATGCTGAATAAAAAATGATTTGCGCAAACATAAAGTACTAAAGTAGGATGACGGCGTCAACTGATAATTTATTAAGATACTTTACACTTGCGAATCAGGTTTTTAACGTATTCGACAAAAAAATACTTGGTTTGAACAAGATTGTAATAGCGAAAATTTAGCGGAAACTTATAAGAAAGGATTAGTTAAACCGAAATTTTCCACATTTTTAAATGGAGGTATACAAATTCAAGGTTCTGTCAAAAGGTGGACATTCTGCTTATCTAAAGGCAAAGTATTAAAATCTGATTTTTCGTATTTAATATTCGTTAGCATTACTGAACTGTTATAGATCACCTGTTGAGTTGAAATTTCCTATCATTATGGATAAAATGTTTTGTTCCATTATAGCTCAGTCACCCAAACCAGCAGTCATGAAAGCGAACAATCTGCCTCAACAAGTAGGATCTGCCAAAATGAGCAATGCCACGCGTTGATTGGCCAGCTCCTGCACACGCGAAGCTACACACTCGCAGCTGATTGGCTTACATGCCTCTGCGGACAGTATAAAATACGATCGGGTAACGCTTTTTTCATGCAGCAAAAAGTCATGTTAGCAGGAGTCAGGGTCATTCTGCTTCTCGCAGTTGTTCTCCAACTCCTCCTCTCCACCCACGCTCATGGTCAGTTGACGTGGAAGGGTGGTTTGAAGTATCTGGTTAACCCTCCCTTCAAACGTCATCAACAGATGCAGCAAGAAGATGGTTATGACAATGATGGGAGCGTAAATAGCAGTCCTCGAGAAGATCTGAGCCTAGAGAAGCTAGTCCAAAAGCCAACAGGCCGATGGTGGTAAGTTCTATTTACGTAAACCGAAACGGCAAAAATTATGGTCGATTTGAATTAAGTAATTTGGCTATATCCTTAAACTGACCTACCTATTTACCCGGCAATGAAAGGCACTTAACGGTGCCTTTGTGCTCGTGTTTCCACAGAAGTAAATCCATGAGAAATTTTTGCTTTGTTATTTTAAGGTGGCAAATGATTCACAGACGAACGACTTTCGGGTAGGAGTTTGAGACGAGAAAATGAATGATTAAATAAACTTTACTTATATTTGACTAGAAGGATTTGAGATGTGTTAGCTTCTCATGACTATTTTACCAATGATTAAGGCAGCTGAAATTGATGGTATCCTTATTTCGAAATAAGTAGCATTTGTCAAAACAACTATCATTCTAGTTATAAATTGTTGTGCAAAAGTGACACTCGCAAAAAAAATCACGAAAAATGAGAGTTTTATGTGAATTTTGCTCACAATAGAGCAATAAACCCGGTGCTCAGATTGCACTCACTTGACCCTCATCATACTGGTCGAACACAGGCAAAAGGAGAAGCAGGAAATACAAAACCACAATCACTACATGACTTACTCGTTGACTCAAAAATGGGTAAAACTAGGAGCGAGTGGAAATGGCGATGTGAAGGTGAATACAACTACGTCGTAGCAGCAACCATCTTACCCTCAGTCGCACGTTGCCTCGACTGGATGATGCACATTATGAATTCAGTAGTGAAGCAAAGTCAAAACCACTTGAAGGGCGAACTTTCAAGATTTACCTTTACTTAATTGGTGGATGAAATCAGGGAGAAAACAAACATGTAACCAATGAAGCCTTCAACCTCTTTCGTCAGGTTGGATTCTCTGGCCCGTCTGCTCTATAACCATCCTCTGCACCTCTCAAAGTACGTGCGAGAAATCTCCATTCCTTCAAGAGAATCTTTGAACTACGAAACGCCGCCAAGTCTTCTAAACTTTCCACGACTTCGATCACGAGCGTCAAATTCACCAATTATGGAGGTGGGTTTACTTTGAGGACCGGAAAATTCCCAGACATAAATGAAGCATGCTGATTATGACCGGTTATAAAGCCCCAAAGGATGGCACTAATTTGCCTTCATTGTACTTTGGGTACGATGTGATTGGATGAGAAAAAAGGGTTAAGCACCTCAAATAACATCAGGACGGTTAAAGGATGGACGGATGAGTTGGGAAATCTATCAAAATTTTGCAGACAATAAGCAAAGCATCAAATCATACAAATGTACACATTTTTGACTTTTCAACACATAAGAGTGAAAAAAACTAGGAAAATCCTTGGTACACTTTAAGCTTAAAACAGGGTGCATTTTACGCGATCAAAAGGCCATTTAGAAAACAACAAATTCATGCATTGAACTACAAATTATTAGGTAAAATGATCAAACACTTTAAAGCTGTATTATTTGCAACAGTTTATTCACACATGTTGTAATAGATGTGAGGCTCCTTGGAACACACCTTTAAGCATTCTGATTTTGATGATTTTTGTTGTTGAAGTGAATCATTACAAAAACGAAGCATTTAAAATTTAAATTTCCCTCGGGCACTTTACACAGGAAAGTTTTACCTACTTAAAAGTAATAAAGTAGAACCACTTTGCCCTTACTACAGGCAAGAAGTTGGCCAATGTACGATCAGGTATGGGCAGTTCACAAACTTCGTCAACTCCTCGCCAGCTACCGCCAGTGGTTCTCACCTCGACAATGGAAGCAATTCCTGCACAAGTCGCCCCCACAACGGTCATTTTCACAATCCCACGAAGAGTCGGTTCACTTGGAATTGCTAGAAGCAGCTGTACAAGGTGTACGTGCAGCGGTAGCTGAATGCCAGCACCAGTTTAAGAATGAGCGTTGGAATTGTAGTGAAGTCCTCTCTGACAGGAATGCTCTCTTCGGCAATGTTCTTTCGAAGGGTGAGTAACTGACATTTGAGCTATCCGAGATTTAGGAATAGATCCGGATTTTGACAGTTTGTACTAATTTGTGCCAGGTGTGCCAGAAACTGCCTTCGTCTACGCCCTTGTTAGTGCCAGCGTGGTTCGTTCCGTGTCTGAAGCTTGCTTGACAAACCTTCGCAATTGTCCTTGTAACAATCGTGGACGAGAGTCCTTTGAAGATGGCTCTGATATTGTAAACTGGCAATGGCAGGGGTGCGATCACAATATTCATTTCGGGAGACGCTTTGGAAGGCATCTACTGGACCCCCTTGAAGCTGGTGGTTTCCACATTCGATTTCTCATGAATCTACACAATTATCGAGTTGGAAGAAGAGTGGTTGCTGAGAACATGCAACGGTACTGTCGATGTCATGGAACCAGTGGATCTTGTACCCTAAAAACTTGCTATCGGCGAACTCCCTCAATGCGTGTTATTGGGAACCATTTAAAAGCCAAATACGAGCATGCTTCCCAAGTCATGCGAGGTAGGCAACTCCTCTCATACTACCGAGATTTACCTCTTCTAGTACTTTTCTAAGTAGCAACCTCTCTTCCTTAGATAACACCATCCCAGTTAGTTGGGGTCACCATGGTAGGGGCAGCTCCATCGTTCATCTAAATCGGTGGAATAACCAGAGAACTCTTCGAGAAGTTGATCACGACTCCCTTCTTTATCGTGGTGGATCTACGTCGCGTCCTCCCTCCCTCCTCAAGGTCAGTTTTGACCGATCAGGCAGAGATCAGAAGCCGACAACGCAGGAGTTGGTATTTTACGAGCAACCCGCTAGCAATCTATTTTGTGAACCCAATCAAAACCTGCACATTCTTGGAACACAAGGTAGGAACTGCAACTCTACATCAACCGGATCAGACAGCTGCCGTTCACTGTGTTGTGGACGGGGACATCGAACAAAGTATTACTATACACTAGAGAATTGTGAATGTAAATTTGTGTGGTGTTGCAGAGTAGAATGCCAAAAATGTCTGGTACCGAAGAGGCAGGAGACCTGCATGTAAATCAGTTACCCCACAGATTTCTCCTATCCATCCTTCCAATCAAAATTTGACCATCATTTGAGGCAATCGGAATCTCTGCATAACTCTATCACGTACTCATTGATGATTTACTACACTTTAATTTATATATGCTTCGAACCTTTTTTGTACCTACTATTGATGCACTGATGTGACGACTACTATTGCTGCTACTAATAACGGTCCAGCAGTTTTTAGTAGTATTTACCTCCGTGGAATGAACATATCACAAGAGATTTTGGAATTCCAATGGACTTTGAGTCTCATTTATTCCCATGGGATTTGGGAGAGCGTTGCGTGCCTATAGAACTGGTAGCATCGAGATGCCCAGTAGGAAGCCTAACAATTTGGTGCATCTGGAAGACCCGTCCTGGGAAGCAGATGGCCACAGAGTTAACTCAGAGGACAAAATGTCCCACCCTTGTCATGTGATTGCCCACAAGCAAGCGACAGATGGATAAAGATCAGCAACATTTGTTGTCTCTGTCTTATATTTTTTTGAATTTGCCGAATAAAAAATTGGTCATTTGTTTAGACGGCACTCTTAGTAGCTTTCAGTGCTTCTGTAATAAAACCTGAAGAATGCAAATCTTAAAGTATGGCACCTTATTTTGCAAAGAAGAAGGTGGAAACGTTTTAGGCAATAAGTGACCCGTAAAGGCACGCTGAAATTTTTAAGTAGTATATTCTGGATCTATTTGTTGTACTAATCAAAGATAGACAGATCGATTTGTTTGTGATAGTCAAAATTCAAATTGGATGGACGAGGAGTATTAACAGCGTGCTGCTGTCTGTTGGCTGGAGGGGGAAGGCGTATTCGTGTCATTGGTGTGGATGTCGTGGTTGTTGGCACATCGACTGGACGCGGACCAGAGGCATTCGGCTGTCATACAATAGCCAAATGGAAGAAGGATTTGAGCTGAAACCGACGCACAACACTTTCGCACTTGAAGCTGATCAAGTAATTAGATATTGCTGTAACCCACGTTTTGAAGAGATTCCGTCCAATCAGAATGGCCGAGTCGGTGATCGGCTGTAGACTGTAGCAAAGACCGCCCTTAAGTGATCATGTAAATTATTTGAATTCCACACTGTTTGATGACTTAAAACTAGTAAAATTTACACCATTATGAAATTTACTTATTGACAATTTCGTCAGTAGGTTGGCGATATTCATCATCAATCCTGACTTTGGCCTACCAACAGCATGGAGTGGATATGAAACATCACTAGCACAGAAAGAACTTGAATGAACTGATGGCATGTACTTTGGAGAAATTTGATGATCCACAGTGCCGTCAGCCTCGTCAACAGGCATCCCACGGACTGACAGACGCCTACTACGATTTGGTGCCGGGTCACTAATGATCACTTTTTACCAGCGTAATGAAGCAGTAGTAATAAAGTGGTTTACTGTCCAACTCTACAATCATTTGCCCACATTCCACAGCTTTAAGCTCCAATTGCAGTGCGTTGAAGGAGGCCTGGATTTCAAAGAGCCCATGGGTGAAGGAACCTTTGACTGCAAAAGGCAGATTTACTCATCTCCACACATGACAGATCATTCCTTTTGATATGCTGACACTGGTGAGGTGCACATCCACTCCCGCAGACTTTAAATAAGATTGAAAATGAATTTACAATGATTCAAGTTTCTGTTGAAATCTTCCTAAATTCTGTTGAAAAAGATTGAATCATGTTGACCAAAGGTAGACAACATCGTGTTTCACTAAGACGGCAACGCTACCGCTGACCAAGACTGAGGAATGCTTCTCCTACTTCGGGTCTGTGAGCTCCGTACTGCAGGAGGCAAGGAACACGATGACAGAACAGCAACCCTCACCACGAAATGACGTCCATCCACTCCTTCATCAGCCCTCGACCGATTCCCTTTAGCACATAATGGAATTAACGACTGGAGAACATCCACTCTTGAACTGTTGGACACGACCAGCTCAAAACAGGAACACGTGAAGCACCACACTAGCCAATGTCTCAACCAAACCCATCAGCTCCATGCTCACCCTCCATTCCACGTAGATCCCGCCTCACAGAAGGTGAATTAGAGCTCACGGCAGACAAACTACTTGTCTACAATCCTCGACGTTTAACACCACACTTCTTCCATCCTTTTAATAAACCGTTGAGGCAAATGACTAAAGCACCAGTTTTTTTTATTTTAGAACCTTCTGCTGACAAAGAGATCACAACAGCACCTCCTCCGCCCCCCCTTTTCTCCACAAACAAACCCACCAATCCTGTTTACGAATTATTCAGCCATCGGAGGACTCGCGTCCGTCATCCAAAGCCCACTTGACCCGCCAATTGATTTACATCACAATAAACACCTCATCATCTTACTATATTTCACTTCATTCCTTAGAATTTCTCACACATACATCATCATCATCATCAACATCAAGAAGCTCTGACCTTCATCTCGCCTACTTCAAGGAGAACAAGGCGAAGGAGGGCAGAGAGTAGCACAAAAAAGGCAAAGGAGAAAGTGGGGAGACAGACGAACAGCACCAAGTATTGTCTGTGACTGAATGACTATTTACACTGTGGCGATGGCGAGCGCAAATTGAACGATGCACGATCAACAGACCTCCTCACGTAGGCGAGTATTGTTCCCTCACTAGTTGATCCTCAGTTGCCGCATCGGTCACGTAATTGGCCATGCTTGGCTCAGTGAGGAGTTGTAGATCATTGGCTGCAATTGGCACAAAGAAGGCGGAGGCGGCAGTTTCGGTGGTGGATGCAGTGGGATCAAATTTGGCGCTTTTGGAGGGCGGAGGACAGGCGACAGAACTGTTCCACAAAGTCGTTCCTGTTGTTGTTGTTGTAGGCAGTGATGGCGGAGGAGGCGAGGCGGTGGAGGCGGAGGAAGAAGCAATTGAGGAGTCAAGAGGACGTTTCTCAAGACGAGAAAGTAAATCGACAGCCATGCTGAAACTGTCTCTACGGCCCTCTTGTTCTGGAGAGGCTACGAAAATGCAAGCAGTTACTAGGCGAATTTGAGTAGCAAGTTCCAGTCCCCTCCACCTCCCCAAGAAGCCCTTCACCATACTCATTGGGGGAGGAATGTTTCAAAGGTCGTGCCAAGAGAAGTAAAAAAAAAAGGCATAACTATGGAATTCAAGATGCTGTATTGAGTACGGTAGATCGGGTACCAATTGGAGAGCATCACACATGCGTGGCGCAAAACAACTTGTCAAATTTAGAATCCATTTCGTTGTGAGAGTAAATCCACTTTTCGGTACCACCGAGGAAAGCACCGCGCTACACCTCTTTATGGACCCAATAGAAGTCAAGAAGCTGTGAATGCATTGCAATAGGTTTTCTTCTCCTCCCACTCATAAGATCTTGCTATGCGTGAGCGAGGTGTGGAGGTGCCAGCAAGTCCTCACTCGGTTACTGCTGCGGCCACATGGAGCAATAATAGGGAAGAGAAGGTGGCGACTGAACAACGAAACCCAACGTTGCCAAGGCTAATGGATCTTTTACGTGCATTTTACTTGGCAGAATCTTAGCTCAAGTTGGGTGTGAAGCGTGGGCTAGAAGTCCCTGCCACACCCATTCTTGACGGGAGTCAAGGTGTATTTACGCCTTCAGCAAGACTACGACATGAAATAAACTTTAGAAAACGCCTAATTGGAGTAAACACACACACACACAC